TTTTCATTCTAGAAACCACCTTATGTAGACCTTTCTAGAAAATATCCATACCCAAATACCTAAAAATAATTTAGACTTGTGTCAAAGGAGGATAATAAGAACAATAACACAACCGCCTTTGAAAAAGCATGTACTGCTTTAATAAGATACCTTACAAATTCTGAAGTTTTCATTAACTAATTTTCCTGAAAATTCTAATTTCTGAAAGTGCTGTTAACCTCCTCCCTTCCCCCTAAAACAAGAAGAGCCCACGTATAGAAGAATCTCCCTGTCCTACGTGTGTGGATAGTTGGCAGAGAAGTCACCAGGCCACAGATGGAAAGGGATGGGTGGAAAGGATGGTGGAGGGATTTATCAGGGGCCCTACTCAGGCAGCGTGTTAGGAATAGGACAGGGCTGTTTTGGAACCCTCAGAAAGCTGAGTTAAGTGGTGTTGATAAAAGGCCATTGTGTCCTCAAGTGCCCCATTGTCATGTAGGAGTTGAGAGCACTTTAATGAATCCAGTGCTAGGTGGCTTGTCCTGGGCCAAGAAACATAAGGGAATATTAGGGACAGTTAATGCTGACAAATTTTAAAGGAAATGGAAATATTCCTAGAAAAATCTAACCCAAGAAGAAATAGAAAACTTGATAGTCCTATAACTATCAAAGGAATTCAAAGTGGGAATAACATTAAAAATTTTATCAATGTAAATTTACCAATTAACAGGAAAAAAGGAGAGAGAAATCATCTCAGTAGACAAAAAGCACTTGATAAAATTCAATATCCACACATGATCAGAACTCTTAGCAAGCTAGGAATAAAAGAAAGCTTTCTTAAACTGATATAGAGTATCTTCAAAATAACTATAGCAAACATGCACTTACTGGTGAAATTTTTGAAAGTTTTCCTTTTGCAATCAGGAAGGAATGAGACAACGGTACCCACTATTACAAGTTTTATTTAACATTGTACTGGAAGTCTTGGGTAGTATCATAAAGAAGAATAGAAAATTAATAATATGAGAATTGGACAGGAAAAATAAAACTAATAATTTGCAGATGTTATGATATG